AGCGTTTCGCTCGAGACGTGTTTAACACCTCCTCATGTTAAACATCCGCCTGGGCAATCTGGGCACGTGGAAGCCCGCGTCTCGCTCGAAACATCCTCAACACATCTTCATGTTAGACATCCCTCTGGGCGACCTGGGCACGTGAAAACGAGCATCTGGTTCGAGACGTTCTCAACACCTCCTCATGCGAGACATCCTCCTGGGCGACCTGGACACGTGAAAACAAGCGTCTCGCTCGACATATTCTCAACACATCTTCATGTTAGACATCCGCCTAGGCGACCTGGGCACGTGGAGAACGATCGTTTTGCTCCAAACGTTCTTAACACATCCTACATGCTAGACATCCGCCTGGGCGACCTGGACACGTGAAAATTATTGCTAAGGCCTTGCGGCCGTTGCCGCCGACCCTGAGAGCGACGAAGATTGAAACGAGGGGGGGCAGGGTGGAGGAGGTGGGTGAGAGAGGAGGAGGGGGGAGAAGGATGTGGAGGAGAAGCAAGAGGAGGAGCAGGAGGCAGAGGAGAGCAGGAGGAGGGGGAGCATAGGGGGGGGGAGGAGGAGGAGGAGGAGGAGGAGGAGGAGGAGGAGGAGGAGGAGGAGGAGGAGGAGGAGGAGGAGGAGGAGGAGGAGGAGGAGGAGGAGAAGGAGGAGGAGGAGGAGGAGGAGGAGGAGGAGGAGGCCAGAGGCTTTCTTGGGACAGCCTGTGGCTCTCCTGAGGCCGTCTTGGGCCGTCCAGGACTCCTCCTGCGCCGTCTCGAGGCACTCTGGGCAATTTGGGGCTCTCCTGGGCTGTCTTGGGGCAGTTTGGGGGCCCCTTGGGAGCCTCTTGGGGCCTCTTCGGGGCTTCTTCGGGGCCTCTTGGGGGCCTCTTGGGGCTGAGAGCTCGAAATGTTTGTTCGGGTCCCCCGTCTGGGCACCCTCCTGGAGCCGTCTTGGGGGCCTCTTGGGCCGTCTTAGAGGCGTCTTGGGCCGTCTTGGGGCCCTCTTCGGCCGTTAGGGGACCCTCTTGGGGGCCTCTTGGGCCGTCTCGGGGCGCGTCCGGAAGCAGAAGAAGCAAGAACGCCAAAATCTGCCAAAAACGTATGAGAAATCCATGAAGTTTGCCTTTTGGGGCTCTCGTGGGAAAGCTCCTGGAGGCCTCTTAGGGGCGTTTTGCAAGCCTCTTGGGCCGTCTGGAGGCCGTCGAGGCGTCTTGGACAGATCGTTCGGCGATTCGGGGTTCTCTTGGACTGTCTCTGGGGCCTCTTGGGGCACTCTTGGCCCGTCTTGGGGCTTTTTGGGGCTCCGGGGCTCCCAGGGGGAGCGTCGTATCTGACCCCCCCCCCTGGGGCGTCTGACCCTCCCCCCCCGGCCCCCCACCCCCCGGCGGGGGAGGGATCGAAGGGAAGGGGCTACCCTTCGACTCAGATACGACGTTGCTTATTTTCGCTTTGGCTGGTGCGCTGAGGAGGTCCCTGGGAAAGGGGGGAGCTTCGACGAGCCCAGGGAAAGGGGGGAGGCAGGGAAAGGGGACGACAGAGACGACGACCAACGAACGACGGAGATGACGACTTGAACGGACCAGCCCCTCACACACGCCGACAGGGTCGGCGGATTTTCCCTCGAGCGGTCCCCACCGAAACCTTCGGCGTTGTTCCCAAAGGTGCGCGTGCCTACTGGAACGATGCGGGCAGAGCGGGGTCCAGCGGTTTCGGCCAGCGCGGCGCCCGGCCCAGGTCACAAACTGACGTTTTGCAGAAGTCTTACAACCCCAGGGCCCCTGACGAAAAAAAACAACACAAGTCCCTGCAGCGACAAAGCAGTCCCCAAAACGAGTCTTGCGAGATCTCACAATGTGAGCGGAGAGAATATGCAGCCTGTTGACAGAAGAAGAGGAGGAGCAGCAGCAACAGCAGCAGCAGCACGAGGAGGCGGACGACGAAGGAGGAGGAGGTGAGGCAGACCTATCCTTCCACCTTCTCTGACGACAGGGGCGCATGTCGCGTTTGATGGGACGCCGTGAAGTGGTGGGTGGCGTATTCGTGATGTAGTGGTTATTCTGTTCGGGTTAACTCTGGCCCAGTGTTCAATATGGCATGATGTTGTGTTATGTTATATTGTGGACTGGCTGGCGTGATCTCGTTGCGCCTTGCACGTTGGTTATGGCTTCTGATCGGTCGTTGCTGCGACTGCTTGTTTCTATGACCAGCCTGGGCTTGGCGCGCATGTCGCATATGAGGGGCCTTCAGTACTCGGTCTCTGCTAAATTATACTCTATCGTGTTGTACTCGGTTCTGTTGTGCTCCATGGAAATGTATATTGATGTTATGATCTCGACGGGGCGGCGTGACGTCGTCACACATGTCGCGTTGGACACGTCGTCTAATCGATATTGCCGCGCCTGTTTTTCCGATGGCCAGGCGCGATTGCCGCCTTGATTTGTCGTTGCTATATTTATCAGTGTGTCAATTTTTGTGATGCTCGATAACGAGCGTTCCTGCTATGCTAGAATACGTTAGATTGTGCACGGGACGGAGTGACGCCGTGACGCCTGTCACGTTAGATACGTCGTCCGATCGGTCGTCGCTGCGTTTCTTTGTACCTGTGGCCGGGCTGACTTCGGCGCGCACGTCGCGCTTGAGTATGCTTAGGTGCGCCCTAGTATGGAATTAAGTCCCTTTTCAAGCTTATGTTTCTCGCCTGTTCAGGTATACTCTGTTATGCTCACCTGTGTCATTGTAGAATTGATATGGTTTGATATACTCTGCTCTGCGGCACCAACTTATGGCATGATACGTATGTGCTGTCAGGTCCGGCTATGGTATGCTATTATCTGTGATGCTGTTCAGGTTGCGCGGAATCCGCTGAAATATAGAATCTGAAATTTTAACCTATCATGCTATATCTAAACTTTCGACGTGGGGGTAGCCGTCGTGCAACAATTATGTTATGTGGTGTTGATGACGGTGTGCTTGATTCGTTACAGTCTGCTGCTCTGGTAATGTTATACCACGTAATGCTCTAGTATGACTGCTTTGTCCTCGACGGGCTGGCGCGGCGCCGTGACGCCTGTCACGATAAAAACGCCGTCCGACCGTTCGTTGCTGCGCCTGTCTGCTCCAGTGGCCAGCCTGACCTCGGCGCGCACGTCGCGGATGATACGGTTGTGGCACAACATAAGATATTGTGATGTAGTGCGTTTTCATGGTACGCAATGCTGTGAATCTGTTATATGTGATGCTCTGTTCGGCTACGCTATGTTATGGCATGGCCTGCCCATGTTCGCTATGATGTGTGGTGTCATGGTATGCTCTGGATGATCCATGATGTCGCTGCATGCGTTGTTATGACGTGTCCTGCTTTGCCTGCTCCAGCGTGCTATGAAAGTACGCGTTGTTATGTGATGGCGTTATGATATATTATGGTGTGCGATGGTCTAATGAGGTATACCAGCCAGCGTTCTCCAGACAGGTGGTGGGTGATGATGGTGACGATGATGATGATGACGATGAGGACGGTCATGTTTTCCACACGCGCAAGCTCCAATCCATTGTACTGTTCCGTACTGGACCGTGAGGCCCAGCAGTTGCGTCAGGGGAGCAGCGCATAGGCATAGGAGTCAGGGGAGAGGCATCGGCATAGGCATAGGCATAGCCGTAGCATCGGAGTTAGGGGGGGACAACGGACCTATCAGTAGGGTTAGACTTAGAACTCCTGTAAGGCAAGCCTATTTGGAAAATACCGTGCTCTGACATGGTATGATGTGTCATGGTACGGCACTGTATGTGCTTCGATGCTGTGCTACAGTGTGATCTGTCCTGCCATGGTATGTTCTGGTATGGCATGGTGTGTCGTATGTTGTGCTGTGCTATGCTATGTTATGGTAGGAGGTGCGGTGTGATGATCTGCTCTGTATGATCCGCTACGCCACAGCGTATGGTGTTATGGCAAGTTCTACGATGATGTAACATAGTATTTCGCGCTCTGGCACGTTATGGTATGTCGTCTGTGCTGCGATGCGATGTGCCATCGTAAATGTTTAGCGATAAGATGTTAAGATATAATATGTCATGTCATGATTGTTTTGTGTGATAATATGTTATGCCATCATATGCTTTGGTATGCTTCATTGTGTCATGAGTTGTGTGCTCCGATCTGTCAGAGCATGCGTTTTATGCTGTGATGTGCTTTGATATGCTATGCTACGTTATGTAAGGCCGTGGCATGACATGTTTTGGTACGTACAGTTATGCGATGTCGTACTGTGGTATGCGCGCTTTGCCATGTGATGTAATGCTATGTGATGTGTGTATGTGCTGTGGTATGCACTGCGTTATCATGGTTCGTTATGTTACGACACGTTGCGCAATGATATAATAGGTGTTGCTCGGATATAGCATGTTAGGCGGTGTCGTGTTGTGTTGTGCCATGTTCTGCTTTTCTATAACACCTCTCTATCATAATATGAGCTGTCGGCGCGGAGCGGGGCACTCGGGGGTACTGAGAGGACCTGGGGATGGGATCCGGCGGCCGCGGTATGCAGAGGGGCGCGAGGCGGGACTCTCGGGGATACTCGGGAGACTGGGGTTCTGGCGGCCGCGGTATGCAGCGTGGACGGGTCGGGAGGCTTGTCCTGAAAGTCTAACGACGCCCAAAATGGGCAATGCCAATGCAAATCCGCAGCGTCCTCATCACCCTTCCTGTCTTTCCCGTCTCCTTCGTCTCCTGCTCCCCCTCCCCCGCTCATGTGCATCGCCCTCCTCCCGCTTCTCCTCCTGCAGACCTTCCGCCATCGATCCGTTCACATTCCACGCTTCCGCCCCTCTCTCCCCCTCACCCTCCCTCCGACCCTCCTCGCTGTACCCGTCCCTCCCCTCAGCTCCTCCTTCCATGTTTCCGTCCCCAATGGCCTTGCTTCCACTCGTGCCTCCTATGCTTCATCACCCTATCCCCCCATAGTTGCATCATTGCCCCCTCTTGTAGGATGATTGAGGAGGTCGGCGGATGTGGCGTAAATCTATAGAATAATATGCCCAGTCGTTGCCTCCTGTCGTGGCCACAAGCAGGGAGAACACCGCCACCTCTACCTGTCCAAAGTGCTCCAGCAATTCCCTCTCTTGGGCGGGGCTCAGATTGCCATCCTCCAGGGCGACAGCCAAACTTTGCACGAAGTAGATGGCGAAGAGGGATGACAGGAATCCAAGCAGTGCGCTCGCCCAAAGCAAAGGCCAGACTGAGTGTACCAAACAATCTATCATTACGCGGATGTCCTTGAACGCGTGGAGTGCGCGCATCATTCGGAGGACTTTGACAACCTTAAAGACGCGGAGGATCCGCAAGAACGTAGAGTCTACTGCGCCCGAGCTTGTTCTTATGAGGGGTAGTATCACAATCTCGAACCCAGCTATCAGCACCAAACTCAAGTCCAACACATTGAATGCCGCGTCCTCGTTGGAGAAGAAGAACAATCGGTGAACCCAGAGCTTTAAACCGATCTCCAAACTATAAAACGTGGTGAACACGAATTCAACCACCGTGATTGCGTCACGGTCTCGGGAACTCCCCACTGAGCGATTCGCCATCCAAACAACGAATATGCAGTTCAAAAGAATGACCAGATTGCACAAGATGTCGAATGCCCTGCTCTGAATCATCCCCGCTACAAGGCCGCTGTGATGCGGCTCTTCCGCGTCCAACCACACCGTGACACCCTTGATCAGCCTCCCGCCCGTGCTCTGGGGCCCTCTCTCCGACCAGCTGGAGACCGCGGTCACGCGCGACTCCTTGGTGGGGATCCTGTCCACGAGGTCGCTCTCGCCGTGGCCGCCCGCCCTGCGCACGCCGCCGACCCCACACGACGCACTCCCGGCAGGGTCCACGTCGCCGACGGGCCAGCTCGCCGCGGCGCACTCCGACAGGCTCGACCGCGGCGAGGCGCTCGACGGCGGCGAGGGCTCGCCCAGGGGCTCGCACCCCGACGGGCCGCTGGCCGCCGCCCCCCCGGCCTGGCCGGCGCTCCCGGCGCCCTGCGCCCGCCGCGGCCGCGGCGTCGCGCTCCTGCCGGCACGAGCCGTGGACGGCGCGCTGCGCGCGGAGGACGCCGCCGCGCTCTGGCCGCGCAGCAGCGCCGCGCCCACCGCGCGCCCGAGCTCCTGCCCGATCCGCTCGGCCGCCAGCTGCAGCTGGCCCTCGTGCTCCGCCGCGGCCCTCTGCAGCGCCGCCGTGTGCTGCGCCAGCGCCTGCTCCAGCTGGCCCGGCAGTGAGGCGGGCGCCTGCCCGCGCCGGCCTGGCCTGGTGTTGGGCGGCCCGTCGGAGCCTGAGGCGAAGACAGGGCGAGGACAACATCGGGCGGGGGCAAATCGAGAATCTCTGAGAGCCGGCGGCTCTGGAGGACGTCTCGGGCGCCGCGGCCTCCTCGGAGCGTTCCGGACCACTCTGAGGGCGCTCCAGCACGCTCTGGAAAGGATCCGCCCCCGCCCTGGCCCCGTCCGAGAGCCGCCTGCTTCCAGGAGCTCCGTCTCCTGCAGGTACTGCTGGAACTGAGCCAGCTGCGACCGGAACGACAGAGCCGCGTCGGAGTCGCCCCCGAGCATCCCATCGGTGGGTGCCCGGCCCCGCCGCGGGGCCGCGCGGCGGCACAGCACGTCGAGCTGGCCCTCGCAGAGGGGCGGCACGGGCGCCCGGCAGCAGTCTCTGGGCGGCGCAGGCGCGCGCTCTGGGGGCTGCTCTTGGGCGCGCCCACTCTCCTGGGCGGCTGGGGTGCCCCTGGGGCTTCTCCTGTAGAGGCCTCCTGGATGGGGTCCGAGCAGATGGGGTCGGAGGATCGGCCCGCATCCCCGATGCATCGGCGATGCACTGGCGATGCCCCATCGACGCCGGCGATGCAACGGCGACGCCAGCGTGGCGAAAATCGGGCCCCACGTCGAGCCTCACCGGCGATGCATCGGCGATGCGGCGCGATCCTCCGACCCCGTCCACTGCGACCCCATCTAAGAGGCCTTCATCCTGGGGCTGAAGGACGACGCCTGCCTTCTCGGGGAAACGAGGGTCACCGAGGGCACGCGTGGTGTACGCCCCATCGTTACGAGGTCGGGGCGGGCTGCGCAGGATGGGCGGGCGGGGCGCGCGGCTGGGGCCGAGATGGCCTTGAGCCGAGAGGGGCCGACAGGGCCCCAGGACGGCCCCGAAGAGCCCACCAGGGGCCCAAACAGGGGAACTCGAAGTGGGCCCCGAAGCCCACGCCCTGGATTGGGGACGTGTCGGATTGCGTGTCCGGGGACGCCCTTCGGGGTGTGTCTTGGAGCGTGCCTGGAGACGTGTCTGGGAACATTCCGTGGCTTCGGAGATATCTGGGGCCGTCCACAGAATCGCGCATTGGCCTCCTTCGTCCCTCATCCTCCTCCTCATCATCCTGCTTATCCTCCTCAACCTCCTCCTCACGCTCATCATCATCATCATCATCATCATCATCATCATCATCATCATCATCAGCATCATCATCGTCATTATCCCTCCTCCTCATCATCATCATCATCATCAGCATCATCATCATCAGCAGCATCATAATCATCATCATCAGCAGCATCAACATCAGCATCATCATCCCCATCCGCATCTTCATCCTCATCATCATCATAATCAGCATCATCATCATCATTACCCTCATCATCAGCATCATCAGCCGCAGCACCACCACCACCGCCATCATCATCAAAAACAGCATCATTATCATCATCATTCCGCATCATCACTTCATCATCATCCTCATCATCATTATCCTCAGCAGTAGCATAATCATCAGCAGCATCATCATGTTCATCAACAGCATCATCATCAATATCAACGCCATCATTACCATCATCACTTCCACCACTACCACCGTCGTCATCCTCATCATCATCAGCAGCAGCATTATCATCCGTTTCATTATTAGTAGTACCACCAGTATCATCAGCATAATCATCAATACTATCATCACCAACACCAACATGCTCATTAGAATCATCATCATGATCGCCCTCCTAATCATAATCATCCGACTCGCCCTCGTCATCCTCGTCCTCCTCCTCCTCATCATCCACCATCTCACCGTCATAATCACCATCGCCAGTCTCAGCATCATAATCAGCATCAGCCCCATCATCATCACCATCATCACCATCATGACTTCTCATCCCCCGCATCCTCCGGCCATTTGTGTTTTCAAAGACTCATCCATGTCGCACCCCCGAACGTGTCGGTAGCACGGGCCGGGCGTTTCGCCCGAGAGACGGCCTGGAGTGCACGGCCCTCTCGCCTTGCAGTCTCCGACGGCTCCACGGGTGGAGGGCAGGCCGTTCTCAACACGTGAGGCTTCCACGTTGGAGCCGAGCGCGCTCGTCTTCAGACATTGCAAGGGTTTCGCAGAGGGAAGGCGGCTCCTTTTCAAGATGTGGCTCTCGCTTCAGATCTGCGCACGTTCGTCTTGAGAGTTCCCAAGGGCTTCAAAGATGAAGACCAGCTCCTTCGTAAAGTGTGGCTCTCTCTTCAGACCCGCGCGCACTCGTCTTAGAGATTTGCGGATGGAGGGCGGGCCGCTGGCAAACTGTGGCCCCTGCCCCCAGCGCCGCGCACGTTCGTCTGACAAGGCCCGAAGAGCCCCACGGACGGAAGGGCGGCTTCTCTCCGAGCGGCTGCTCTCGCCTCAGCGCCGCGCACGCTCGTCGCAGCCCAGAGCTCTGCGCGGACGGAGGGCGGCACGCGCTCAAGAGTGTCGGCACCCTCCGTCTGCAAGAGGCCCAAAAGGGATCCACGGACGGAAGGCGGCGCCCCGCAGCGCCGCGGGCCTGCGCCGGCAAAGATCGCAAGGACTTCGCGGATGGAGGGCGGCGCTCTTTCACGGCGCGGCGCTTGCCTCGGCGCCGCACGCATTCGCCATGCAGCGTTGCAGAGGGCTTCGCGGAGGGAGGGCGGGTCGTTTGCAGAAAGCTGCTCCTGCCTCGGCACCGCGCACCCTCGTCTTAAAACTCGGCAAGGGTTTCACGGGCGGGGGGCGGCTCCTTCACAAGAGCTGACGCTCGCCCCAGCGCCGCACACAGTCGCCGTCAAAGATCGCGAGGCACGGATGGAGGGCGGCCCCTTTTCAACATGAGCCCCCCGCCTCAGCGCCGTGCACATCCGTCTTAAACGTGATCGACCCACGAACCTGGAAAGGAAGTTCAAAACTACGAGACATGGCAACGTTTCCAGGACACCTGATTGGGCGATGGACATTTGCAATGCTGAGAATATCGGTCGCAGTGTACGGTGCCAAGGGCTGTGTTGTGTTGTGCTGTTATGAAGCGGGATGTGTCATGCCGCGATGGAGTTCGTTGTGCTCTGTAGCGTTGTCGATTCAGCCGCCCCTATCATCCAAATCCTGACCGAACTGATGTGGATCGTAAGCTCAATCTGGCTGAGCGCAAATCTGACGCAGAATTGGTCGCAATCGAAACGTGTGGGAAGGGAACGCTCCATCAGCTCGAGCTCAGGATCCGACCCAATTCCGAATGGACGCGCCAAAGGATGTGCCAAGGCCGCACTCGGGGATGCGCAAGGGGACAAGCCAGGGAACGTGGCAAAAGGCGCACCACGGAACGGGCAGGGGAAGCGACACGGGGCAAGCCAGGGAACGCGACAGGGGACGAGCCGAAAGACGCGCCCTGGGACGCGCCGAGGGGCGTGCCCAGGGGGCGTGCCAGGGGGGCTATCCTCAACACGTCCTCATGCTCGACGTCCGCCTGGGCGACCTGGACACGCGAAAACGAGCGGCTCGTTCGAGACAACCTCCGAACATCTTCATGTTAAAAATCGGTTTGGGGGACCTGGGCACGTGAAAACAAGCGCTTCGCTCAACATATCCTCAATGCATCCTCGTGCTAGACAACCGCCTGGGCGACCTGGACACGCCAAAACAAGCGTCTCACTCGAGACATCTCGACGCATCCTCATGCCATGTATCCGCCTGGACGACCTGGACGCGTGAAAACAAGGGTTTCGCTCGAGACATCCTCAACACATCCTGACGCTAGAAATCTGCCTGGGCGACCTGGAGACGTAAAACCAAGCGTCTCGCTCGAGGCATCCCCAAAACCTAGGGACGTGAGAACAAGCATTTTGAATGAGGCAGCCTCTGCAATCTGTAGCGCGGAACAGAAGTTTCGAGCGTGACCTCCTCAACAAATTATGCAAACCAAGCGTTTCGCTCGAGACATCCGCAGCAAACGAAAATGCTGACTTCACCAAATGATTTACCGGATGTTTTAATCCAACATTTCGCTCGGGACATGCTCAAATTTTAATGCGCCGACCCTCTTCGACCATGCTATTTATCAAGGACAGCAATTATCTGGACAAGAACGGGAAGCGCCGCTTCTCTGGGCTTGCGCGCGCGCATGGAGTTGCACCCAACGCACATGTGCGCGCGTGGGGCGCACTCGCTGGGACCCCCTGCGCGCCCAGATGTGATTGGTTTTAACGCGCCGAGTTTTGACTCGCATGGCCGAAAGAGTCGCTAGATCTCGCGAGCGAGCTCAGCAGCGCATTGTTCGAGGATGTCTTGTGCGAGAGTCCATTCTTAGCGGAAGGAATCTCCAAATGCGGCTTCAAAGTCTAAGTTCTTCGAGGATGTCTCGAGCGAAGCGCCTATGGCGGGGGGAATCCGCCAAGGAAAAACAACTGTTGTGGCAGCGGGCCAGATGTCCATCGCGAGCTGCTTTCTCCAATTGTTTCTCATTCAACATGGCCTAACGAACTCCCATCGCCTTCTCGTTCCGAGAAGGCGCAATTTTGAAGACGCAGCCCCGATCTAGAGGTCTCGCGAACCCTCGACAAGGCCCACTCGCTCTGGGGTGACCCGCGCACCTGTGCATCTTGGATACATCATGCGCGGCTACCACCCTCTGGTGGCGGGCGCGCACAACTGGCCATGGCCCTCTGGCCACGAGACAGGCGGCATGCCTTTGCAGCCGCGTTGGAAAACCAGCAGAGAGGGAGAGCGCAGAAGGCAGGCGAAAGTGACGCGCATGGAAGGGCAACGTCATGCACCGCAATGCGAGCACACGAGAACAGGAGACAACTGAGCACGCTGAAAGAGTAACAGGGCGAGTATAGTAGCCCGACCGAGCCAAACTCAAAGTCACCAGATACTTGCTATGAGACCCCCTGTTGCGACACGTGCAAGACGGCGACGACTGACCAGCCACGGGACCCAGCTGAGACAAAGATGTAGAAGCAAGGATGTACCACCACGATTGAAAATCACAGTACTGTAGAACCCATACTGCTGCTGACTCAACAACTGTAATGGTGAGGCATGAGGACACGGCAGTTGTGTGGGATCCAGCTGCAACGGTTCGCCAATGTATCCCAACGTGTTAGGCGGTCGCCCCAATACCCCGCCCGCCCTCTGGCGAGCACGGCGCGGTCGGTACTGCAGGATGAACCCAGGCTTTGCACTGGCTCGCCCCCGTCGCGGTCGTCGTTGGACGGCATGGGGCTCCACGGTGGTCGTACCGCCACCGAACGTTCGGCCTTCCAGCATGGTTGAATTCGGCGTGCGATGGCGCACAGAAAGATGAGAAATTAATTATGTCCCGCCATCGATATGCAACCATGCTGCGCGGGGGCTTGCGACACCGCTGACACGAATAAAATCGCCATAATCGCTCGAGCCAGGGCCTTGAGAAGGCGCTTGCTTGGTTTGAAGACGCAACCCCAACACTGGGGTCTCGCGAGCGTTCACAGAGCCAACCGCAAGGTCGGCCCGCGCGCGTGCGCGTCCACGGACGCAACGTACGAAGCTGACCACCCACTGGTGGGAAGCCCGCACATCAGCACGCGACCTTCTGGCCACGGGCTGGCGGCGAGCAGTGATTTTCCAACGGCGCGGCACATCATGTGCACGAGAAGCATAGCGCAGCATAGCGGGGGCCGCCCTTACCAGCAATGCGAAGTCGGCATCGCTCCAGGCTATACAAGGGCAGGGTTGCAGGCCGAATAAAAGTCGAAGTCACCAACGCAGCTGGCCAAGAAGGAAGGAGGGCGGACGAGGAGGCACAAG